GTTATTTTTATTATTAGGTGAGAATTAAAAATCATTTTTAATTAAAAAAATACGGCTTTGTAAAGTCTGTTTAGTTGATATCTAATCCTCTCTAATCATATTTAATTTTAAGAAAATCTTAGTGTCTTTCTTTGAGCCATAAACAAACATTCTACAGGAGTAATGCTTAATGCTATAGGAGTAATGCGTTTGTGTTATTTCGAGCACAATGTATTCGAACTTTATGTAGTCCCGAATAAGAATTCGTTTATTCTTAAAGAATAGCCCTTCTCGATCTTTGTCATCAAAAATGTAAATATAAAATCAAAACCCTGTATTGAAACATTATAAAAAATTTTATAGTTGGGTTTCCAGTACTCCCGAATAAGAATTCTCTTTTGTTAAATGGTTTCAGTTGGTCATGACTTTAAGTTGAAGCAATAAGCATAAGCTATGCAAAAAAAAATTAAAATCGAATTATAAACAACGATTGTACAGGGTTATGCTGTATACACACAAAAATTTTGTATACTTTGACGAAGTGCTAACTACTTTTTAAAATATTTTAAGATATTCCTAACCCTTAAATTAGTCACACAACAAATTTAATCGTACATAAAACAAAAAAAAAACTTGCACAAAAGTTATGTACATATATCAATTTCTATAGAGCCACATTAAAAACGAAGTTACACATTTACGTACTTTTAAGTACCGTAACGTTCTTAAACAGGAAAAAGTTATTCTCTTTATTAAGGTGTTTATAACTCGTTAAGGTTTTAATCGTTTTATTGTCAACATTATTATTTTTGTTGCGAGAGCCAAGCATTTGGAATCGTAACGAAAAAAAAATCGCCAAATGCCAATTCAAATCAGACATATTGCACGTAATGACCGGGTACGGCATCGTATACCTTTCCCGTCGAATGCACCGAGAAAAAAGAAACATCCGCCATAAATGTCAAACGCAATGGGCAAGGAGCAAGGTATAACGTTCCCGATAGATATATGTAAATGATCTCGACACGAGCGTTACAATAAGCAATTTTGTAACACCGTGTGCTTTCTGCGTTCGACAAAGAGGTATTTTTTTCCCGGCCATCCCCACCGCCACTGGCGCACGTTAAGTTATTACATAATATGCGAAACTTACCGCCGTTGTCTAAGTGTTTTAAATTAACCACAAAACATGGTTTATTATACATTTTACGGCGGCGTAATAGACATCAGATTGGCCATTTTGTTTTAACACACGTCTGTGCAACTTTGTTAGATTGTCAGCATACATTCTAAGCGGCTTAGTGTCATAAGCGTACATAGTCTATCCTTACTTCATATCAAAGTTCCAAAAACAGCCCGTCGACTCGTGAATGCGAATGAATGCGCATGCTCTGCTCTTACAATTTAGAAATATTCATAATAACTAGAAAAATAGAACTAAAATAAATAAATATGTTTAAAAACAACAATTTCAATATTAAATATTACATGGAGTACACAGTTAGAATATACAATGAAATGAATTGAGAATAGTAAGCACACAACCATCTGACTAGACTAGTTGAAGATTACAGATTTCAGTTCAGAACTCGGTTTAACTGGAAACCTTTGGAAACTCAGTGGCCGTTGTAACTATTCTATTGTAAGCAATATTATGATAATGATGACTATAAAAGTTACTGTATGAGAAGATCTCTAGCTGAGACATAAAAGTTTATAGTGCCCAACATTTCGGGTAAGATAACTACGTAATTCACAATCTGGCTGAGTCGTTATTTGTTCTACAACCTTTAAGATGCTGTAGATATTTTTGAAAATTTCTCTTCGTTTAATTTGATCTGGTACTGGACCAGGATTTAAATGCTATACTGAGAAAAATAATTAGTTCCTGAAAATAAAGCACATTTGTTCTAATGAAACAATTTAATTCGTATCGTATCGAGTCTTACACTATTACAAGAAATATGTTCGTATTATTACAATTCTATTTCAGTTATTGCGAGAAAAATAATACCCCAATTAGTATACCCCTTATACTATTTGGGGTATTATTTATTTTGCGAGAACTTTTCGTTGAAGTAACAAAAGCTAAATATTTATTTCAGTCAGTGCAAAATTAATTAACATTATATGTAAATAGCAATCAATAATATTTAATTTTGCGATATGTAGGGAAAGTTGACGTTTTGGCAAAATGACGTATGTTATCTTCAGGTCAATATCAAAAAGATTATGCTTCCGGGAATTACAGATTTACTGGCAGCAAATAAATTTTGATTTCAGGAAATATGCTACCATACCATTAGTTTAAGATTCGCTTTATTAAAAATAATAATTTTTCAGTTAAAACTAAACGTATGTAATGTTAAGAATTGTTTAATTCATGGAATAAATTATATAATATAAATTTTGATAATATCGGTTTGTAGAAAATTTCAACCAAACTTTATTGGCGCAATGAGAATATAATTTACAAAGTTGCGGATTATTGAATTAAATAACTTAGTTAAGACATTTTAAGTAAAATTATAATCAATTTTGTCTCAACAAAAGCTTATTTACTGTAAATGTAACGTTTGTTATTAAAATGATTTAATTCATCTCAGGGAAAAAATTCTCTCTGTGTACAGTTCATTAGAAATGAATTCTGCTTCCTACAATAAGATCCAGAAGCGTGAAAAAAGGCCTTTCATTTGACTTTTTTTTTATATACAACCAGAGGATCTCATTTTAGAATTTTCTTTTTACAGTACTGCATTCCGCGTTTATTAACGTTTTTAACTAATTTTGAGCGATCACGGGAGGCAACCCGTGGACACAATGAAGCGACGCTGCTCTGGAAAATCATTGCAATGACGATCGCAGGTTTGGATTACTTTTGCGGCGTAAACCTTTAACGGCCCAAATCGGGTGATCTGAAAAGTGCCCCACGCGGAATACATTACGGCCGTAATTACGGTAAAAGAATTCTCGAAATGCGATTTGCGTGCTTAGCTACCGTTTTCCTGTGGCCAATTGTACGGGGGTAGAACATAACACAGAGACGTCAACGTTTAAACCGATATGCACACAGAATTACGATTAAGAAGACGCTGCTGGTTGTCGTAGCGTCTTGCATTTTGCTTAAGAAGGCACCAAATAAAAAGCTCTCTGGTTGGTATAATACGACCAAAAATATAGTGCTTTTATTGCTTTGACGTTTTAAGTATTTTACACTACTTTAACCGCAAACCTTCGCAGGACCGTGGTAAAACCCATTAAAACAGATGTTTATTCTGCATTTGGCAGATCTTGCCTGAGATGGACCGTAACGAATATTTGTAGAAATTTTTATTTTAAACTTAAATGAATAGTTTTAAATTTGATTAAGCATTGATGCTGCGGGGTAATTTCGAAGGAGAAGTGTTTATTTGAACATGAGGTGATATATATCGCTCTTAAGAGTTTAATCTAAATTACAATTTGTTCAGTATATATTACGAAGGTGTGACTGTGATCCTTCCAGTAAGTACGTATTTATGTATCTGATTCTCGACCCTGCGAAGCTGTTTTCAGTGTTATTACTAACCAAAATTTAGTGACAGTACTATAAATATAATTCAGCAAGAGGTAGCTCAAATATCAGTACAAAGCTGGTCTAACTGTGAAAAAGGAGTAATAAAAGAAGACAATATTTACCGAGAACGATTAGTGGCGGAGTTGATCATTGAACTAATTGACGACAGTAGCGATAGTGACGATTTTTTAAGTGACTGATAGTTTATTATTATTATATTTAATATTTTGTGTATTAATTATGATAGTATGAAAAAATTTAATGAAATAGAACGTAATAAATTGTTACTTTGTACTATTTTTTTATGTACATGTTTCAAGAATTACTCAGCGAAGAACATTGAAAACGTAGTTATATCCCGCTTGTTAGTGTAAGTAGATAAATTCCTAGGACGGTCCTGGAATGGTTACGGGTAAGAGCCTGCTCGGCAGGGTGTTCTATAAGGGGCTGTGGTTTTGGAGAAATAAACAGTAGGCAAAGTTCGTCACGGGGTCGGTTGTAAAGGCACTATATTTCTGGTCGAAGTATATTAGCTGACCCGTAAAGCAGATTATTCTATAGCATTATGCAAAGTTTCACTATTTTCAATATACTAATAATAGTAATTTTTTAAGATGCTGTATTTTATATTTTCCAAAATAGTTTTTTTAAGAATATTTTATCTAAATAATAAAAAAGCTAAGCTAAATAGTAGTAGTATAAAATTATTAGTAAGCAAAACGGCAAAATACATTGTATTTTAATGTAAATAACATTTTTTCAAAAACAAAACACCTGAGGAAGTTGTAGACAATACATATTTGGTAAAATTTTGGTAAAAAATGAACACTATAAACAGAATCTTCCATTTCTGACACATCTGTGTTGTTCTCGTATTTGTATTGTGGTTATTATTGTAGTTCATTGTAGTTCATTGTAGTTCATTCGTAGAAATTCCACATATGAAACTCAAGGCGCGTCAAATCTAAGGATCTGGGTGGCCATGTTAGCCTACACTTCCAACGAATTATTCCATTTACATTTATTAAAAATAATTTTGAAAATAAAGTAAAAAGAATGATTTTTTTCAAAACTTTATATAGATACACCCTGCGTAATCGAGATAAAAAGTGACCTTCTCGCACGGCAACCTCGATCCCGTGAATCGTGAAGTTTTTCGATATCCAGTTGGTCCCCAAAAGTAGGTAAAAACTGTATATGCAGATATGCGATCGGCTGTGGTGGGCTCTTGCAAATCTGTGCCATTTAATTGCCGTCCAATTAGGCACGGAGGTGGCTTTTTCGCTTCGCTGAGCCCGGCTTCCGGCATGCATCAATGACTTATCTTCGGTTATGCGTTCTCGGATAGATACCACCAGGAGATAATGGCGATTTTTTAACTCCAGATGACTGGCGACCGTTTAAAGAAAATGTTTTTTTTTATATATAAAACGTTGGTAGGTAACTAATCTTTTTTTTGTTTCAGGTAAGTGCATCAGATCGTTTTCCCGGGATGATGCCTGCTCAGTTCTAGTCGGTATGTCTGATTATGATTATAGATCGCTATATACCTGCTGCTCGACTTGAAATGAACTACAAATGTGTGGACTGTTTTCAGATACGCATATCCGCAAAGATAGAAAAGATATAAAAGACAGGGGCTTGGGTATATAAAGATTTTATCCGCTGGGCCTTTTTTTATAACTTTATCCTATTTAATTTAAACCTCATAAGCAAGGTCCACCGTCTAATGTGACATGCGTGAAAATTCTCGACCATTTGTGGAAAACATCATTCAATCTGTGTGCGGTAAATTGCGATTTTACATCTAGTTGAAATTTGAAAAAAAAGGTGGCCGTAAAACGTGTCTATTTTATGGTACTTGTCATGGTGGAACGCGCAATGGTCCCACTAAGATTTTTTATTTGGCGGCCATCATGGAAAGCAATGTCAGCATATACATAATTTTGATGATAATTTCGCGCAGATTTCAAATATGGAGATTGGAGATATTTATTCAAAATTGTAAGGTTAAACCGAAAGCGACTTCAACAATCTAAATACGTCAAGAAATGGGGTTTTATTCACTCATTTTTCTATTAAAAAATCAAATATAGATGTTCAAAGCTGTAAAGAAAAGTGGGGGGGTAACTACATCTTGTCTCACCAGTACATCAGAAATTAACCAATTTAAGATACAACTGCAAAATCGAACAAAACTATAAGCCTTTATATGCGAAAATTTTCGTCCAAATACCATTTTCGTCCAAATACCATTTCAGTTTTAAAAAATATGAAAAAAATATTTTCCTTTAGGATTAATTAAGCCACTCTTCCTATTCTTGAAAATGCCAATCCTCAACGGCGATATATTAAATAATATTTTTTCCAAAAAATCTTCGTAAAATCTACCGTACTTTCACTTTTAATTGGGTTATAATTATATTGAAGAATTTCGCTATCGGGAAACGGTTATCGATAGCGCATCGGTTAAATTAGAGAGGAGTAGTGAAAAATGAATAAAAGTATAAGATGCAATAAGTTCTATTAAAATCGTTCGTAACGCATTTTTGTCTTGGCGATAAATTGAAAAATATTTTAGTATATTCATGTTGAGGTACATATTACGATATCCTATTGACTTAAAAAGTTAAAAGTGCGTGATCAGCCTGAGTTTTTAAAACAATTATAAATATTTTGATAAATAAATATTTTTGCAAGTAGGAAATGTTTTAAAAATAGCAAAACATAAGACTATTGAAAAATCGTTGTCGTTAATTCACTGAAATAGCTCGAACATTATGGTTTTCTTTTGTTTATTGTTGTTTTTGTTTTTGGTGCTAGGTATAGACACGTCAAAGCCGCTGAAGTTTAAATTAAAACGTTAATTTAATTCCCATTGACATTTAAATTACAACTCAATCAAACTCAACCCCCCAGCCTTTTGAATAATTGTTGGATTCATTTTCAAATTGAAACCGCCATATAACGTGAATACAAATTAAAATTTTCGCTAATGGAAACAAAGTTAGCGTAATCAGTTTGATAATGATAATGAACGTTCAGTTATAGAGTATATTAAACCAATGGGCTGAAAGACCATTAAAGAAAAAATTGAAATCACAGAAAAAACATTTGTATTGCTTTTTTTTAAGTAATACTATTTTAAATATGTATTAACCGCGTTTCTTTTAAAAGTTATTATTTTTTTAAAATTTGATGAGCACTTCAGAGCTAGAAAGAAACATGTACTGACGCCTTGACACCATTTCTTATATAAAAAAGAATTTTTGGAGCATTAAATTGGAGCAAGACAATTTTGTATTTTTTTTGTTTACTGCTTCACTTTTACTTACTATCTCTTTTTCCTTCAGTAGTGAGTGCAGTAAGGATTCGTCGAATTTTTCACCAGAAATTGTTTTCTTATCATTATCTTTTGGTATTTCGAGTTTGATAAAAGCTATGCTCTTGAAACTAAATTGTTTAAATTGTCGTTATTATTTTTTTAAAATTTGTATATCTGGACTTCAAACTTCGAAAGAATCATGTACTGATGTCTCGGCACCTTTTTTTTATATATAAAAATGAATTTTTGGAGCATTAAATTGGAGCAGGACAAATTTTAATTTTTTTTTACTGCTTCACTTTTACCTACTATCTGTTTTTCTTTCAGTAGTGAGTGCAGTAAAGATTCGTTTAGTTTTTTACTAGAATTGCTTTATCATTATCTTTTGGTATTTTGAGTTTGATAAAAGCTATGCTCTTGAAACTAAATTGTTAAAATTGTCGTTCTTAATTTTTAAAATTTGAATGTGGCGACTTCAGAGCTTGAAAGAAACATGTACTGACGTCCTGACGCCATTTTTAATATAAAAAAGCATTTTTGGAGCATTAAATTGCAGCACGACAAATTTGTGTTGTTTTTGTTTAGTGCTTCACTTTTACTTATTATCTCTTTTTCCTTCAGTAAGGATTCGTCGAATTTTTCACCAGAAATTGTTTTCTTATCATCATCTTTTGGTATTTCGAGTTTGATAGAAGCTATGCTCTTGAAACTAAATTGTTAAAATTGTTGGAATGGCCAGCATCCTCGCAGTAACATTAACAACAGACTAAACCGAATTATTATTGCATTTTCAAATAGTTTTGATAACATTTTTCTCAAATCACACTGAACATAATAATACAGAGATGAAAATGTAAGAAGTATTTGATTATTTTCGTTATTTTGTTTCGACTATGCAATATACAAAACGACCATCGCTGTATCTTAGTGGAGCTCAGACCTCGGGTTTAGTTTTGGGTTGCGTCAAAAGTTCAGCTATTCTATCGATTCGGCACAATCGGTTCGATTCCGTTTATTAAACATTTTCCCGCGACATTAAACAAACAAATTTCCGAAAACTTACGGGCGTTTAGGAAATCGATTGCCAAACGGCAACGGAAACAAACACGATTAGATTTATATATTATGTGGTCGACGGTTTTTATTTTCTGGAAAATCGAAAGTGGGCTGAACAAACAGAATTTCTTTGCCGATATAGGCGCGGGTCCGTCCAAAGAGAGAGAACCGTTTATACGCCGTAAATCTGCCAGCGAACCAATTCGGTGTTCTAATTATAAACTGCATGTGTTTTATTTTGTTTAAACCGTATATACGTTAACAAAAAGGAAAATAATCGGCTCGTGCGAATAGCGAATACTTGAAACATGTGCGCGTGGTTTTGGTTCGTCGACTTACCACCCAGTGTTTCGAATTCGGCACTGGCCTATCGGGATCTCGGAAACGGTAGGTATCTATCTCTTAGGGCGATTCAAACAGGACGTACTAGTGTGATCTAGGACGGCCATTTTTTTTGCATTTGTCGACGTTTATAAAATTGTTTCAGTTTTTGTGTGTTTTTTTTTATTTAATTAATATACTATTCAATTATTGCTTTGTAAATATAATTGGAAATGAAATAAAGAGTTAAAAGTATTGTAATAAAAATCAAAATATACCCTACCCACAGGTTCTTTCGGGTGTAAAGTATGTTCATAGATATAAGAAAGTGACTAACTGATACGAATTAAGGAAAGACCCGGGCAGGTCCGTACTTTGCTTAGAATTTAATTATTTGGGGTTTTGTTAGGAAATATACTAAACAAAATTTATTTATTTATGTGTGTATTTATGTTTAAATCTAAAATAAAATTACAAATTATTTTTATTACCTACTTAAATTACTTAAAATTATTCACATAATATATGAGTATCACTATCGCCATCGTCGCCTGTTCTATTTATTATTCGTTCTATATTATTTGCAATATGGATATACGATTGTTCTGCCTTTTCTATATGTTTAACAGAATTTGCCCAACTTTGTGGAGGGATGTTAAAAACTTCGCGGCAGATTTCAGTTGGTGCCAAACATGTTCAATTTTATTAAATAAACAATGGGAAGCCTTAAAACGGTATGTCCTAGATTTTTTGCATAATTATCACAGACGTATTCCTTTTGTAGCTTCAAGCTTTGTAGAACCTCAATTAATTGCTTTTTGGTATAATCTTCGTGAAAATAAATGTCGTTATTGAACATGTAGTTTTGGATTGTTGCTTTTGTGTCACATGGGGAAGGGGTTTTAGTCAAATGTCTATTGTGATTCATTACAATTACGCTATTAGGCTATTAGGAGGAATGTTTGGAACTAGTTTGTTTTTACACCAACTTTCAAATAAATCAGCGGTGGTGCCTTCATGGTAATCCAGAGAAGAATCTTTAATATTTTTCGCAGACAGAGAAAGTCCATTTGGAATCCAACCATCTTTAGAGCCAGCATGCCTCTTTTTGTTGCAGCGTTTGTTTTACACTTATCAGTTGAGTCAACCCCGCCATTTCCGAATTCTAAAAGATTCCATTAAAACTTGCCTTTTGAATACACTTCCATAAGGTAGTTCTGCTACATTTAACACCGGTTTCATCTTTTTCAAGCCTCCTAACTAAGATATCTAATGTAGGCACGCGTTGTTCCTCGTATAACTGTCAGCATCGCTTCTTTTTTTCCTCGCTGAAATGGGATTATTTACAATTTTCCATACAGTTGATGAAATACACTAGATTCGCACATATTTTGCATAATTCGGCACACGATTCAACACACGCTGTATTACACACGAAATAAGAATGATTACTAATAAACTTAAACTAAGTAGTATACCAAACCAAAGGATATTAAACATAGGTAGGCATAAAATTATTTTCTGTTCCGGACCACAATTTTACCTGAATTTAAATTCCGAAACGTTAGGTAATAATCTTGTTGCGTTGTATGTTAATGACCATCCAAAAGCAATTGGTCACTTTCTTAAATCTATGAACAGACCATACCTCGGGGTTAACGTATTGTTTTGTTCTTTTCATTTCCATAAAATTCCTATAAATATCATCTCTAGGAAATATCTGGCTTGATTGTAGGCTTACTTTCTGGAATCATTTAAATGATATAAGAGCTGAGGGCTATATGGCTGTCTTTAAGAAAGATTTTGTAAGTTTT